TGGGTTAAAATTTGCCCTTAGAATATTTATGATAAGATAATACTAAAGAAAGAATTCTCGAGTCGTCGTTAGTCGAAATGTGCCAAGAAGCAGCAAAATTCATAGTCGAAGAGACGACGAGAGCCGTGATTGAGATGTCAATAAAGATCGAGATCGAACACCGTTGATAGAGCTGTAAGTAAGGGTGGCAAGTGGGCCGATCCAGGCCCGGGACCATGGGCCAAACGGGCCAGGACCGTTTGGCCCGGTTTTAGTGGGCCTTGGCCGGTCTTGTGGGTCGGTCCTATGATTTGGGCCTGCCAGGCCCGAGACCATTTAGCCCACCAGGGCCCGGGACCGGACCGGTCCCTTAGCGGGCCAAACGGTCCCAACGGCTATTTTTAAAAAAGAAATATTGTCGTTCGGCTATCAAAAATAGCCGTTGGCTATTTATAAAATAGCCATTTAACCCCCCAACTTTGTTTTAATCCCAAACTTTTTATAATTACACTTTTTTCCTATTTTCAACCATAAATACCCCATTATTCTTTCATTTTTTCTTACAAAATCATCAATCTATCACAATCTCTCTCTAATTTTCTTCTATAATTGCTACTATTGCTTACTTTATTGTTACAATTTATGGAACAATTGTGAAGTAGGTGAATTGAAGTCTTCAACGATAATCAATTTTTAACAAGTTGTTCGTCAATTCGGTAAACTCGTTCCAACTCTTAAGTTTTAATATTATAATTTTGTTTGTTTGATTTATTTTCTATTACTTTATTAATTAAGATGGCTTCCTTAAAAAAAAATTTGGTAAAAATAAGGAAAAATCCAAGATTGACGAATCTAGTGCTCAATCTGTTCCTCCTCCACTGCCCTGGGTTCCCCGAACCAAACTCCATATACGTCCTACACTTGCTATTCTTGATAGCGATAATAGTTTATTACAATTTACTGAAAGTCAATTTTGCCATAATATTAGAGCTGGTGAACAATTAGACCATGAATTAATGAATGCTCTTTATTCTAATCTAACTATTGATGAAAATGATGACGATGAAATAGATTTTGATGAAACTCAATCGGATGATGATACACCAACTAGTCCTGCTCCTGATGTTAACCCAACTAGTGATAACCCTGCTAATACAAATGATTTCCCATTTGATACTCCTGTTACTGCCCCTACTTTTTCTAGACAACCTAGTAAACGGACGGAAACATCTCCCGTTTGGTCATTTTTTACGCAACTAATTCCAGAAAATAAGGCTAAGTGTAAAACTTGTGGCGCGGAGTTAGTTTTTAAATATTTTAGATCGCGGAGGGTGAAACTTTGGCTAGACACATAATGAAACACCCTCAAGATAGAGTGAGATATCTTCGTCTGAAAGCTTTGGCCGAGGGAAAAAATTTACCTACTCCTAGTCAGGTTGACCCTAGTACCGGTTCAAATCAATTTCAACCGAAAATTAACACTGTTACCGGTAGTATTTTATATTATGATCCAAAAAAAGATCGGGAAGAATTGGCAAAAATGGTAATTGTTATGTGTTTACCCTATAGTTTTCCTTCTGACCCTAACTTTGTGCATTATATTTGAATTTTTTTTAATCCTACTTATAAAAGTTTTCCTCGCACAACCGTAAAGAGCGATATTTATAAATATAAACATGAATATGAACAATATTTGCGCTATTTATTTTAGATAATATTTTAAAAGATGCGATGAATTTGGCCTAAGAGAAAGAAAGGTTCCTAAACCTTGTCCAACTAGATGGAATTGCATGTATGAAAGTTTGGTTGTTGNTTGAAATTGAAAAGGTTAAAATGGCTCTTAACTGGCTTTTTTATTCAAACCGTAGAAGTAGACTTAGAGAATATTTTAAAAGATGCGATGAATTTGGCCTAAGAGAAAGAAAGGTTCCTAAACCTTGTCCAACTAGATGGAATTACATGTATGAAAGTTTGGTTGTTGCATATGAATATAGAAACCCCATAAACTCAACATTTAATGCACATGTAAGTGATGATGATGAGCACCTTACAAATGGGGATTGGGCTAATGTTAAAATACTTGTAGATTTTTTAGAAAAATTTCATATTGCTACAAATAAATTTTCTGGACAATATTATCCTATTATTTCAAAATGTTTAGTTTATATTGCAAAACTTACAAATTTGTTTGCTCATTTTTCAGAGGGTGGGGAAATTTATAAACTTGCTATTGATTCTATGAGAAAAAAGTTTAAAAAATATTTTTCCCTATTCCCCCTATTTATGGTATTTCTGCTTTGTTAAATCCTTGTATGAAATTAGAAGGTCCTCATTTTTGGTATGAAACTGTTTATAATGGTTTAGCACTTAAAGATGAAGAATTGTCTCAACTTCCGGAAACAATAGCCTCAATTAGAATAAATGCTCAAACTATTTTTAATACTTATCAAGTTGCATTAAATCATGCTAGACCAAATGTTCCAACTCATTCTTCTTCTGATTCTCAATCATCTAAAAGAACTGCGAGAGTAAGAGCACTTAGTTCTTGGGCGGGGTTTATGGGTTCTCAAGGTTCTAGTAGTAGTGATTTTTCACAATTAAATGAGCTTGAAGTTTATTTGTCGCAGGGAATTGAGGAAGTGAATCCCGACGGTTCTTTTAATCTTTTGGAATGGTGGAAGGACAAAGAAAAATACTTTCCGGTTCTTTCAAGGATGGCCCGAGACATTTTAACTATTCAAGCTTCAACAGTGGCATCAGAGAGCTCTTTCAGTCAAGCAAGACTTCAACTCGGTGATTATAGAGCGTCTATGAGGGAGAGTTTGAAAAAATCAGTACTTTTCAGAGATTGGATCCGGTCGGAAAGAAGAAATTTTGGACTTGCTGAATCACAACCAGATGAAGACGAAGCTTACGAAAAAATGCTAGCTGAACTTGCGGAGGATGTTGCTTCATCCGAAAGTGGCAATGACCAAGCTACTTTTCCGCCACCACCAATAAAAATTCCTCCGGACCTTGATAGATTTATGAAGTTTGTAAGTGATACCATATAACTTGTATCAACAAAAATTAGTATGTATTATGTAACTTATATTTTGGCACATCTTGATTAGTTTCTTTTTCTTCTCAATGGTGGTATTAGCACTTTGTTGTGCTCATTCCATAGGGGGATGAAGACTAAGAAAGATATTGCCATATTTTTTAATGCTATAATAAAATTACAAGGCATATCTCTTTACAATATTTTTGTCTTTAGACTTAGATATTATTTTTAACATCCTTTTGTCTCTAATTTCTATTTAATTTTTTTAAAAATCCGTTGGGCCCACTTAGCTCATTTAGCTCGCGGGCCGGGACAGTTTAGCCCGGGACCAAACGGTCCCGGTCTCGGACCGGTCCCTACAAAAAGATCGTTTAACCCGGGACCGTTTAGCCCGTTTAATTTGGGACCGGTCTGGAACCGGGACCGTTTAGACTGGACCACTTAGCCCGTTTAGGCCCGGGACCGGCCCACTTGCCACCCTTAGCTGTAACGGTTAGTTTTCAGATAGGATGTTGAAAGGGAATATTTTATTGGATATTCCTTGCACTTGTACTATTAAGGTTCCATAGGAATATGTTCCATATAAATAGAAAAGAGAGATAATGATAAGGCTATGTGATATTCATTTGTAAGGACACACTTTGACAAAAAGATTCTCTCTTGCTAAGATACAAATACCACATTTTTACTAAGATTCTTGTCTATATTATTCCATACTTTTCCATCAGATCCGTGAATAACTCGAATATTCAAGGATTTGCCAATCACTCATTATTGTCGAGAGGGACATCCATCTATTTCATCATTTATTGGGTGAATCATTCCTCATATTTACTTAAATGACATTTATTGTTATTCATTGTTGTTGGATGTTACATTATTGCTCGTGCTTTTTAGAACAGTTATTGCATGTTGTTATCACTATCTGACCGAACCCATATACTGTTTTTTGCACCCTTGAAAGTTTCATCTAGAGATTATATTGTTAGCTAAGTTTAACTCCTAATTACATAAATTTTATTATTTGAACCAAGATCCGTATTTTTTGGTCAAATAATTTGGCGTCGTCTGTGGGGATTTCTTAGCTAAACTTTTAGTTCCTTCTAGATCTACAACTAGCACACGCCACTAACGAAAAAAAACAAGATCTCCTTCCTTTGTGTACACAAATCCCAACATGGCAGGTAACCGAGAAGAAATGACAAGAATAATAAGTGACCTCCCAACCAACCTTATGAACGTCATTAATGAAACCTGTGAAACAACAGACGAGGGCGTGACGCCCAGTGCTTCCCCTAGACGAGATGGGTCACCGCCCCCTCGCTGCAGTATAACAAAATCTCGTGGTAAGGGAGCCTCCACGTCCGTGGAAGAAGAGACGCCCACAGTTGTAAAAAAGCTCCTCGAAACGTGGCTAACTGACACGCTAACCAACATCCTCAACAAGCGCGCTCGGGGCAGGACTACAGAAAATGCAAGGACTAGCATAATACAACAAGTAGTCGAGCAATGCAACCAACTCTTCCTCTAACGAGAGGTATTACTCACAATGTCATTGATAGTGTAGGTGACAATGCCCTTGCAACCATTCTAAAAAGGATGGAAGAATGGAGAATGAAAACAAGGCGCTCCGAGATCAAATGAAAGAACACCAAGAAAGGGTAGATAAAATACCAGGCGCTCATAAGCTGTTGCCGAAGAGAGACGCCAGTCGGTTCATCGAACAACCATACAGTGATGACGCAGCCCCACATGCTATGCCAGAAACCTTTAAAATGCAGCCCTACCTCAGGATATATGACGGCACAACCGACCTTGAAGATCACGTGACTCATTACGTCACCACTGTAAAAGGCAATTATCTCGCCAAAGAACAAGTATCTTCCATTTGCTGAAGAGGTTTGGCAAAACCCTTACAAGAGGGGCATTGACATGGTATTCGCATCTACCAGCACGCTCCATAGAGACTTTCGAGAAAATGGCCGACAAGTTCGTAATGGCCCATGCTAGAGCCAAGAAGGCCGAGGCACGAGTGAACGACATATTTACTATTAAAAAGTCCCTGGGAAAGGAACTAAGGGACTTCATCGCTCAGTTCATCCGAGTGAGAATGACTCTGCCAAACATATCTGAAGGGATGACAGTCGCAGCCTTTCAGAATGGGCTGAGTAGAGATGGTTCAAGAGCAATTAGAAAACTGTTGAGTCGGTTGATGAAGTATTCCCCAACCACTTGGGACAAAATCCACAATGCTTACTGTGCCAAGGTCCGTGCAGATGAGGACGACCTCAACGGACCAACTCACCGTCTAACCTCGGTACAAGTCAAAACAAGAAAAGACTGAGGAGACACCGCCAGAAGAGATAATCCAATTCCACGACCTAACAGGGAACGACATCAACCATATATCAGGACGACCGTTGCGCCCTCCTCCCACTACGAAGAAGGTCTATCCAGACCAAGGACGGGAACTCATCAGAACGACCGAGGTATGCCTTCCTTGTTATGGGCTCACAATTTTTGTGTGTCACCTACAAAGATAGTCTACGCTCTGGAAAAACTCGGACAAAAAATGAAGTGGCTGCCGAAGATAAGATCAGACCTGAACACCAGAAAGTCTGACGCCCTCTATGAGTTCCATCAGGAACGAGGACACAAAACTGAAGATTGCATCGCCCTAAGGCAAGAAGCCGTAAACATGTTGCAACAAGGGCACCTCAAAGAGTTACTAAGCAACAGGGGAAGAACCAACTTCGCTAGAGAACGTGACCAAGGACCGCCAAAACCACCCTCGCCAGCTCGTACAATTAACATGATCATCGGCGGCAGTGATGACGCGTCTATCAACAACGTGAAATTCACCACTACCCATAAACTCAAGCGATCTATCACCCGCGAGTGGTACGACGAACTCGAAGAAAGTATCATCTTCGACAAGTCGGATGCCGACGGTTTGACCTTTCCTCAAAATGACGCCCTCATTATTACTTTACGTATTTTAGATACCAATGTTAAATGCATTATGATGGATGACAGGAGCGTCGCATGCATTGTCCATCCCCGAGTGCTTACCCAAATGAGACTCGAAGATAATATAGTGTTGCGTTGCATCATGCTAACTGGTTTTAACAATGCAGTTGAACGGACATCCAGGGAAATTACACTAACTGTTCTGGCCGGCGGCGTAACTCAGGAGAAATCGTTCCAAATCATAGACCAGGCCACCGCATACAACGCCATAGTAGGAAGACCATGGATACATCCCATGAAAGTCGTCCCCTCCAGCCTATACCAAGAAATTAAATACCCAACTCCATGGGGGATTTTCAGTATACAAGGAGAACAACGCACATCACGAGAATGCTACATCATTTACTTAGACGGCACGACCACCCACCAGAGAAAAGATAAAGAAAAGAGGGCATAATAATCAACAGAGTCGAGGTCGGAGCAAGAGGAAACAAAGAAAGTCATCAAGGAACTAGATACGGCTAAAGCCGCTAGTTCGACCATAGAAGATCTCGACCCCATGCAGTTGGATCTCAAAGACCACATCAAGAAGGCATATGTCAGCTGCAAGCTTCGGGAATCAGGTAAATTCAGTCAATTCTTAACAACTAACACAGATTTGTTTGCTTTCCATGCAGATATGTCTGGCATCCAAAAAGAAATCGCCACACAAATTAAACGTCTACCCGCTCCACCCCAGTGAGGCAAGTCAGGCGTAAATTCAACTCCACAATTAAACCAGTGCGCGAGGAGGTGGAAAACTGCTGCAAAATGGTTCCATCAGGGAATCGAAATACCCCAAATGGGTCGCTAACGTAGTGATGGTCTGTCACGACCTAATTTCCCCTCCGTGTGACGTCATGACGGCACCTAGTCTTTACAACTAGGTAAGCCTAATATTTTGTGAAATAATGAAATAAAAATATAAATTTAATCGACTATTCAAAAATACACAACAAATCCCAAAACCCGAAATATCATGAATCACAAACTACAGAAGGAAAGATCTAGTGTCTCTATATATCAAAGTCTAACAAGGAAAATACAGAAGATAATGGACATGAGAAAGAGTAGAAGGGGATTCCGAGGTCTGCGGACGCGACATATATACCTTGAAGTCTCCAAAGTTATCCCGGCTCACTGATAGTGCGGCTGATAAGGTGCACCTGGACCTGCACATGCAAAACATGTGCAGAGAGTAGCATGAGTACACCACAATGGTACCCAGTAAGTGCCAAGCCTAACCTCGGTCGAGTAGTGACGAGGTCAGGTCAAGAACCTACCGGAGTAAATATAATAAATTAAATAGTAAAAGATATAAGTAAAGTTTACGATAACACAGTTAAAGAAATTCTCGAAAATTTAATAGTTAAGGGAGCCCTCAGCTCAAAACAAGGTAAACACAATGTGGAAACTCCCGGGATACCGTCCCGTAGTTCCGAATGAATATGCAGTACATGGGGATCTCCCGGAATACGTCTGTAGTCCCAAAGTAAATATGCAACGCTGGGGGATCTCCCGGAATACGTCCGTAGTCCTAATTTAAATATGCAAGACAGAATGATCTCCCGGAATGCGTTCGTAGTCCCAGTTTAAATATGCAGCGCAAGATGAAATGATAGATATGATATTGAGTTATACAGTTTACACTGAACACATATAAGGAAAGTAGGGACTTAACTAAGCATGACACATAGAATGTCAAATAGGCAGTTAAAACACGTAAGCATGCTTCTCTAATCTAAGCTAAATAATTACACGTATTAGTGCAATTTAATAAGGGAAGACAGTTTATGATTTAGAAAGGAAAAACTGAATTTTTGCAATAATAGCCCATGTACGTACTCATCACTTCACGTACACGGCGCTCACACATCAATTAATATCAAACATCCTATGGGGAAAAGTCCCCAACACAAGGTTAGGCAAGCCACTTACCTCGAACCGCTCAAATCATCTCGATATCACGTTCTTGCCATGAATATCCGACTCCAAATGGCCCGAATCTATTCAAATTAATTGCATAATGTAAATATAACTACAAGTAACTAATTTAACTAACTAATTCGAAGCTAAAACGTAAAATTAGGGAAAACGCCCAAAACATCTCTCCGGGCCCACGTTTCGGAATCGAGTAAGAATTACAAATTATGAACACCCATTCACTCACGACTTTACTCGAACAAAAATCATCTAAATCCGACGTCAAATTCCCATTCAAATCTCAAGTTTTCAATTGGGGAACCTTTCCCCCCATTTCCAAACTTCTACCCTCAAATTCCTTAATTAGACGAGAAAAAAAACAATAGATTAATGAAATATACACAAATTAGAGTTAAGAATTGTTACCCACTGATTTCATCTTCAAAACCCTTGCAAAATCACCTTCTCCCGAGCTAAAATTCGAATTGGTGAAAAATGAGGAATGAACCCCTGAATCTGCCTCTTAAACCCAGTGATTTCCGCACCTGCGAACCTAGGACCATACCTGCGGTCACGCACCTGCGTACAAACCCATCGCAGGTGCAAATTCCACTTACTTGGGCTGGTTCCGCACCTGCAACCCCTGGGCCGCATTTGCGGTTCTGCTTCTGCGGACAACCAGCCGCACCTGCGAGCCCAGCTTGACAAGCCCATTTCCGCATCTGTGAGCTTCCCATGCGCACCTGCGAGCTCGCAGATGCGGTCAAAATTGCGCACCTGCGCTCCATCACCAGCCCCACTAGTTCTACATTTGCACACTCCCTCCGCACCTGCGGCTCTCGCACCTGCGGCCTCCCTTCTACAGGTGCAAAACACCATAACCAGCAAAGACACTAGATTTTTCTAAGTTCAATTTCATTCTGTTAAGCATCCGAAAAACACCCGAGGCCCCCGGGACCTCCACCAAACCTACCAACCAATCCTATAACACCATACAAACTTAGTCGATCCTTCAAACCACATCGAACAACACCAAAATCATGAATTAAGCACGAATTCAAACCTAAGAATTTAGAATTTTCCAAATTCTACAAACGACATCGAACCACATCAAATCTAGTCCTAATGACCTCAAACTTTTACACACAAGTCACAAATGACACTACGAACTTACAGCCACTTACAGAATTCCATTCCGAGCTCGATATCAAAATTTTCACTATTGGCCGAAATCGCCGAAAAACTAACTTTCGTCAATTCAACCCTAAATCTACTACAGACCTCCAAAACACATTCAGGACGCGCTCCTAATCCCAAAATCACTCAACAGAGCTAACATAGTCAACGGAATTCCATTCCGGATCTGTTTTCACACAGTTCTGACTACGGTCCAATTTCTAAGGCTTAAACTCACAACTAGGGACTAAGTGTCCCAAAACTCCCCGAATTCTATAACCAATCACTCCGGCAAATCCCAAAAGCAGAAACAAATATTAGGAAAGCAGATATTAGGGGATCACTCTAATTCTCAAAATGACTGGTCGGGTCGTTACATCCTCCCCTCTTAAAATAATCATTAGTCCTCGAACGAGTATAAAGACATACCTGAAACTGTGAAAAGATGAGGGTACTGGCTACGCATATCCTGCTCGATCTCCTAAGTTGCCTCCTCGACCGGCTGACCCCTCCACTAGACCTTTACTGAAGCAATATTCTTTGAACTGAGCTTTCTGACCTACCTGTCCAAAATGGCTACTGGCTCCTTAACATAAGATAGATCCTTGTCCAACTGGACTGAGCTGAAATCCAATACATGAGTCGGATCACCGTGATACTTCCGGAGCATAGACATATGGAATACCGGGTGAACTCTTGCTAGGCTGGGAAGCAAGGCAAGCTCATAAGCAACCTCCCCAACTCACCACAATATCTCAAAAGGACCAATAAACCTTGGGCTCAGCTTGCCCTTCTTCCCAAATCTCATGATGCCCTTCATAGGCGATACTCGAAGCAAGACCCGCTCACCAACCATAAATGCCAAATCACGAACCTTCTGGTCTGCATAACTCTTTTTCCAGGACTGAGTTGTGTGAAGTCTCTCTTGAATTACCTTCACCTTATCCAGGGCATCCTGGACCAAATCTGTACCCAACAATCGGGCCTCGCCCGGCTCAAACTATCCCACTAGGGACCGGCACCGCCTACCATACAAAGCTTCATACGGTGCCATCTGAATGTTGTACTGGTAACTATTGTTGTAAGCAAACTCTGCAAGTGGCAAGTATTGGTCCCATGACCCTTCGAACTCCATCACACAGGCACAGAGCATATCCTCAAGAATCTGAATCGTGCGCTCGGACTGCCCGTCCGTCTGAGGGTGAAAGGTTGTGCTCAGCTCCACCCTAGTACCCAACTCCTGCTTTACGGCTCTCCAAAACCGTAATGAGAACTATGTACCTCTGTCTGAAATGATGGATACTGGATACCATGAAGGCGGACAATCTCTCTGATATAAATCTCAGCCAACCTCTCAGAAGAATAAGTGGTCAACACTAGAATAAAATGAGTTGACTTGGTCACCCGATCCACGATCACCCAAATAGCATCAACTTTCTCAAAGTCCGTGGAAGTCCAACTACAAAGTCCATGGTGATCCGCTCCCACATCCTCTCTGGGATATCTAACCTCTGAAGTAATCCACCCGGCCTCTGGTACTCATATTTGACCTACTGACAGTTGAGACACTTGGCCACAAACCCAACTATATCCTTCTTCATCATTCTCCACCAGTAGTGATGTCTCAAATCCTGGAACATCTTTGCGGCACCGGGATAAATGGAGTACCGCAAGCTGTGGGCTTCCTCGAGAATCAACTCTTGAAGCCCATCTACATTGGGCACACAGATCCGGCCCTGCATCTTCATCAAACCGTCATCACCGATAGTCACACCTATGGCATCACCTCGCCGAACCCTGTCCTGAAGAACTAGAAGATGAGGATCATCATACTGGCGCTCCCTGATACAGTTATAAAGAGAAGATCGAGCAACCATACAAGCTAATACCCAGCTAGACTCTGAAATATCCAATCTCACAAACTGGTAGGCTAAGGCCTGAGCATCTAAGGCTAAGGTCCTCTCAGCTGCCGGAAGATATGCCAAACTCCTCAAACTCTCTGCCCGGCAACTCAAGGCGTCGGCCACTATATTGGCCTTCCCCAGGTGGTACAATATAGTGATATCATAATCTTTAAGTAGCTCCAACCACCTCCGCTGACGCAAATTAAGGTCCTTCTGCCTGAGCAAGTGCTGCAAACTCCGGTGATCAGTGTAAATCTCACAAGGAACACCGTACAAATAATGATGCCAGATCTTTAGGGCGTGAACAATAGCTTCTAACTTGAGATCATGGACCGAATAATTCTTCTCATACACCTTCAATTGTCTAGACATGTAGGCAATCACACTACCATCATGCATTAATACCGCTCCAAGG